GGAGATGAACCTGGGGTGTTGTGCATGCTAGGCCAGCACTCTTCGAACTGAGCTACACCCGGACCCAAAACGTTGTTTTTGGTTTTGTTTTTTTTGTTTTATTTTGTTTTTGTTTTGCTGGGGATTGCTTGGTTACTTGTGATGTCTGTATTTTCATAAATATAGTGTTTGATTTTTGAGACAGAGTTTCACTGTGTAGGCCTCGATGACCTGGAACTCACTATGTAGCTGAGGCTAGCCTTGAGCTCACAGAGGATTAAAGGCATGCACCACCACACCCAGCTGTTACCATTATTATTACGCAATGGTAGAGATTGAAATCAGGTCCTCCTGCGGACCAGGCAAGCATTCTACTAGCTGAGTTACATACCCAACCACATGTTACCCTTTTAACACAAGCAAACCTCTGCTCATAGGAAAATTAAGTAGCGAGGCCTGGTGGTACAGGGCTGTAATCATGCAACTTGGAAGGTTGAGGCAGAAGAATTTCAAGTTCAAAGTATGTTTGGGCTCCAAAGTGAGTTCAAGACCCTATCTGGAGACTTCGTAAAATTCTTCCTCAAAATAAAAAGTAAAAGGGAGAACTAGAAATTCATCCCAGAAGTAGAGGGCTGGCCAGTATATACGAGGAGCTCAGGTCAAGCTCCTGGGAAAACAGATGTTTTGACTTAAATGGCGCCAACTCAGAGCAAAACAACCCACTCTGGTTGTTCCCCAGGTGACCACAGAAACACTGTAACTGACTTCATGCAGGGATTTCTCCAGTGTGCTTTTGCCCTTGGTTGCTTCTCCACCAGAGGGCAGACACTCAGGCGATGGATGTGCTTTTAATCTTAACTCAGTACCATGATAGGAAAACAATATGGGCACTATGATCGATCCCCGCTTGCCTGGGGCCAGTGCAGTTTTAAGGTCTTTCCAAGTGTTTGGCTCATTTGTATATTAGCATGGTTCCAAGAAGCAGCTACTATTATTCACATTCGGCATTCACACGAGGAAACTAGCACAATAAAGAAGTTAGTGGGAAAGAAATGCATACATCAGCAGGATGAGAACCAACCGAGGTGCTGGTGTCACTTGCTGTTAACGAAGCATGCACGTTTTCCAGATTGATTAGCCCTGCCAATCAATCATCTTCTTGGCATTAAAGTTGTCATATGAAACAGGAAATGACTTCAGGCAATGGGTAGTCATGACTGGCGCATAGCAACTGCCTTCTGAAAATTCCTTATCTATCACGTCCATAATGATGGGAGAGCAGAACTGATCATTTTAACTATGGATTTCATATTCTGATGCTCCACAGCACATCTAGCTGTTCCAAGTGTCTGTTTTGACTGTGTTAAACTTCTGTAGGCTGGCCCCGCCCACTGTGGGTGACACATATGCCTGTTGAATGAGTCAGAGCCTCAAGCAAACACAGTTCCTCCATGGTTTCTGCCTCTAGTGTCCTGCCTGAAGTTCCTGCCCTGACTCCCCTCAGTGATGAATCATGACCTGGAAGCATAAAATGAAATAAACCCTTTCCTCCTCTAAGTCCCTTTGGTCAGCATGTTTATCACAGCAACAGAAAGGATACAAAGACAAAGAGAAAGGTACTGTGCTGGTTTCATTTCCTGCAGCTGTGGTTAAAAAGAAAAAAATAATAGTACCCCAACAAAAGCAACTTAGGGGAGGAAAGAACTATGTTAGCTCATCATTCCGGATTACAGTCCACCACTTTAGGCAAGTCAAGGCAGCAATAACTTGAAACCGCTAGTCATGTCCATCACCAAGAAGAAAGAGCGATGAATGTACACAAGCCAGTGCTCAGCTGGCTTTCTCCGTTCTTAAACAATCCAGGATCCTCTGCGTAGGGAATGGTGCCACCCACGGAGCAATCAAGACAGTCCCTTGGAGACACACCCACTATAAAATCCCTCACTAAGGTTCTCTTTCCTGGTGAGTCTAGATTGTGCCAATTTGAAAATTAAAACTAACCATCACAGATACAAATCATTTATATTTCGTTTTCCTAAGGCTGTCTTCCTTTCTAGAGTGAATCAGAATTATTGGTGACAATCTACAACTAAAATCAGAAGCTCTCTATATCATTTTTTTTTTCTTTTTTGTTTTTTTGAGACAGGGTTTCTCTGTGTAGCTTTTGGAGTCTGTCCTGGATTTCGCTCTGTAGACCAGGCTGGCCTCGAACTCACAGAGATTCACCTGCCTCTGCCTCCTGAGTGCTGGGATTAAAGGTGTGTACCACCATTGCCCAGCTCTCTGTATCATTTTGAAATACTAAAATAATGGAAGTAGATTTTTTATTTGTTTGTTTTTGGTACTAGAGATTGAAACCAGAGCCTCAGCATGCTAAGAAAGCACCCTATCCCTGAGCACATCACAGCCATCTCTTTTTATTTTGAGATAGTCTCACTAGGTTGTCCAGGTAGGCCTTGAACTTTCGATTCTCCTGTCCTAGTCTCCTGAGTAGCTGGGATTGCAGATCTTCAGGCCCAGTTTTTAAGTGACTATGTGTTCTCTAAATTTATGTTTATGTGTGTGCAGGTGTGCAGGTGTGTGTGTGTGTGTGTGTGTGTGTGTGTGTGTGTGTGTGTGTTTACATGCATGAGCATGTGAATGCATGTGGCTTCAGAGGACAGCAGCAGGTATTTTCACTTATCAGGATCCACCTCCTGCCCTGTTTTTTAACAGGGGTCTTGCACTGACCTGAAAATAGAAGATTAGGCTAGTCTGTATGGCCAATGAGCTCCAGGGACCTGCCTGTGTCCACTAGTATGGGGACTGTAAGTCCGGGACCAGTTTCATGACATAGGTTCTGAGGATGGAACTCAGGTCCTCGTTTTTTGCAAGGAAGCACCTTACTAACAGAGCTGTCTTCCTGTTCTTGAGATGAGTTTTTAAACAGTGACAAAAACAAGCTCTCACCTCGTCCTTACTATGTTGTAAGCCCTTTACAAAAATGAACTAATGTGACCTCCTAACGCTCTGCAAGGCAGGTGAGGAATGTGAGGCCTAGACGTTAGGTCCTGTGTTTAAGGTCACATGCCTGGTGACCAAATTTGAAACCTAGAACCCAGACCAAATGGAACCCAGGCTCTGAGGGCTCAGGGCTCAGGAACTGTATGATATTTTGTTTATGTTCTGACAAATAAAGCTTGCCTGGAGATCAGAAGGTGGTGCTAACCACTAGTTAACCAGGCGGTGGTGGCTCACTCCTTAAATTCCAGTACTCGGGAGGTGGAGACAAGAATATAAAGCAGGTGGAGACAGGATCCTGCCCACTCAGTCTGAGATTTCGTAGAGGTAAGAAGTCTCTAGTGGCTGGCTGCTCTGCTTCTCTGATCTTTCAGCTTTCACGCCCAATATCTGACTCCAGGTTTTTATTATTAAAACTAATTAGGGTTGCACTTCAAGGAATCAGATCAGACTTTCCTTAAAAGTTCCAAGAGGTGACTCAACCTACACCCAGGGATGAAAAATCTCAACTTAGCAAGCCTCAGGGGTGCCTTGAAAGCTGCTGGCCCAGACCACTGGGCCCCAGCCCATAATTTGTGAGTGGTGCCCAGGTGATGCTGGTAGTCTGTGGGCCACACTGAAAGAATCGTGGCTCTAGAATAAGCCCTGGGGACTACTCCTCCTGACTCGTGTTTTAACTCACACTGGATCAGCTCCTTACAGCCATGGAGACAACTAGTGAAGTGGCTCCTGGGCCACAGTGTACCTTCCAGCTCCTGAGAGACCGACACGCTCCCTCAGGCAGTGAAGCATTCATGCGCTTTGTGTTTCTCTGTATGTTCCCTTGGAAGTCCAGGAAGCGTGACAGCACAATTGGTCTTAGATATTAATCGTGTGTCCCTTGTATGGCATGCAAACGTCACTGTGTCCTGGCAACTACATCTATATTGATCCTGGCAATCCCCATTATATTCTGTTTCAGATAGAGGTATAAAAAGTCTGATTGCTCTTAATAAAATTGCCACAGCTTAAGTTTTGCTGTGGCCCCCTCCAGCCTTGCCTGGTTTCATGCCTTGAGGCCATATCAGAAGACCTTGGCCTGATGAGTAAGGGCAGGCACCTACAACTGATCAACAACAACAACAAATCAATATGGCGTTGCTCAAACCAAAGTCATTGGATGAAAGCTAAGTTCCTGTGTGACCTTCTTAGAAATCTAGGGGAGAATGAGAAGCTGATGTGCCCAGGTCAAGAGTGAGGACAAGGATTCTGGGTCCAATTTATTCCTTCCCTCATTAAGTAACCAGAATAATCCAATTTTAAGCCATTGGTCATAGTTTTTTTTGTTGTTGTTCCGTGCTCAGTCTTAGAAGGGAAGTTTTTTGTTGTTGTTGTTGTTGTTGTTTATTTCTGAGTTTCATAGTTCTCTACTCAACGGTTCTCAACTTGAGGGTTGTGGCCATCAGAAAAACACGTATTTCCACTGGTCTTGGGAAGTGAGAGACTACTCAGTAGTAAAATTAGAGTTATAATAAGAGAATAAGTTTATGGTTGGAGTTCCTAAAACCAACAGAAATATGTGCTCTCCAATAGTTGTGACCCATAGGTTGAGAACCCTGCTCTAGCCTTTTTCTATAAAACCAGTTCTGCTTAGCCTATGAAAACATTTCATCTGTTGTACAGAATGGGAAGTTGCCTAATTTGAGAATTATGCCGTAATGCAACAAAGACCTTTAAATTGTAATTCTGTCCTTTGGCATAGCCAACTTTGTAAGGGAAAAAAAAAAAAAAAAAAACAAAAAAAAAACCAAGAGCTTAATTTAATTTTATTGTAGCATCCATTTTGTAATCCTACAGAATAGAATGCCTTGGTGCTGTGAGGCTATGATATTAAAATAATGTATAGAAGCATGCCGAGTGTATCACATGGTACAAAAAGTATATCCAATCACACGCATTTCCTAGCTAAAAAAATTTTTGTATGGTCTCTGTTTAGTCCCACATTCATTACATAGATCTTAGTGAATGAGGAGGTAACTCACCCCAGAATGACCTGCAGACTCCTGAGCTTTCATTTCCTCAATATTTTTCTCAAACAGCGCCAGGAGCCATCTTTTGGACTTTGACCAGTTTCTGCATTAAAAAAACAACAATAACAAAAAAACCCATATAATTAGTGATTTGCAAGGGTGTTTAAGGTGACAGGTTATGACATAAGAGGAGTGACTGTTGGAGCTGGAGAGATGGCTCAGTGGTTAAGAGCACTGGATGCTCTTTCAGAGGACCCAGGTTCAATTCCCAGCACCCACATGGCAGCTCTCACCTGTCTGTAACTCCAGTTCCAAGGGATCAAACTCCCTCACAGAGACATGCATGCAGGCAAAATACCAACATACAAAAAATAAAAAAAATAAGTAAATTATATTTTAAAAAAGGAAGAATACTTCTGAAAATAGAATAATTTCCTCAAATGCATCTGTTTCCAGTTAGCATTTCCAAAGAGGTCCACTTCTGAATTGTTAGTTCACAGGTAAAACTGGGGACTCATTTCAGTGCCTTTGTAAACAGCCGTTGGGATTCCTACCGGGCTGCCCGCCACCGAAGGAGAAAATGGTGCGTCAATTGCTTGGTTCACGTTCACTGTGCATGTCCTAAGAGTGACAGGTGAAAGTCCAGCACAGAGGCCAGAGGCTGAGTTAGCTAAGCAAAGTCCATCAGTTGTCACCATTTTATTCTCATCTATCCATTCCCACCATCCACTCACTGCTAATGATCTGGGTCCCCTGCAAAATCGAGTCCTGAAATTCTCAACTTGGAGGTGATCATATTAGGAGCAGGGTGTTAAAGACAATATTACAAGATAGAGAGTGAGTTGAGAAATCTACGGAGTCTGTTTAACGAGCAAAGGAATTTATTTGGGGATTAGCTCACTACCATGGGGGATTTATCGTAGGGTTCGGGAAAGCTGAGCTATGTCTCATGCTGATTTGCCTGGTCCGAGATCTCAGCATCCAGAACTACGAGGAGATGGAGAGAGAGCCACGTAAGTGCATCCCAGGTCTTAGGGGTCCCAAGTGGCCACGCCCTGGGGGCATGTACTTCAAGGTGATTGGCAGGTGTAACAGTTACCTGCTACCTCACTAGGGGTGGTGCTTCAAGGTCACAGCTAGAACATCTCCCCACTACAAGAGTGAACTCTTTACCAGTGGGATTAGTGTCTATAAAACACTGGAAAGCACTTGATTTGCCCCTTCCACTCTGAAGGCACAGTCAGAAGTCGACAGTCTGCCCCCAGAAGGAAGCCCCCCTCAGAGACCATCCTGCTGGTACTATTGTCTTGGCTGTCACAGCCTCCAAAGTATGGGAAATAAATATTTATTGTTTATAAGTTACCCATCCATGCCACCTATGACTGTCCAAATAGGATAAAACATAGAGCAATTGCCAAGAACTTTTTAAAATGCAGTTACTTTTCACTGCATTTTACGAATGTTTAGCGGAGCCAATGATCACAAAAGCATTTGATGACACCTACTTTTATGTCTTACGGAGGCGGGGGCTGATTCAGCATGGATTCAAACAGAATCAACTCAACAGTGACACACTGTACTTGAGAAGAGCATCAGATACATTCTCCATGCCACCTTCTCATCTTCTTCCTCACTCTCTCTCCCTTCCTCCCTCCCGCCTTACACACACACACACACACACACACACACACACACACACTGTTTTACAGGAAGGAAGGGACAGGAAGATGGGGATGAAGGCAGGAAGGAGGAAAGAAAGAACAGAGAGAAGGACAGAGGAAGAAGTACATCTCTTTTTGATCCTCCTTCACTTCATACGTGCACACTACAACAAGCAGGTCACGGAGCCTGGTGTGATGGTGCACTCCTGCAGTGCCAGCATCCTGGAGCCCGAGGCCATGCCTTCCAGGGCCAGCTTGGGCTATACAGTGAGAACACCACACTCTCTCCCACCACCATTTAAAAAAAAAGTCACAGAAACAGCTGCCTTCCACCTCAACCGATGTGATTCTACTTAAGAGGAAGAAATGTGGCCGGAAACATGACTGAGTGGATAAAGCACTTGCCACACAGTATTGAAGACCAGAGGAGTCTGATTCTCTAGAACCTACTAAAAGCTGGTCATGGTAGCATTCATGGGTAATTTCTTCATTCCCACAGGGAGATGGGAGACGGAGACAATAGAACCCCTTGAAGCTTGGCCAACCAACCTGAGTTATGCTGCGATGTTTTAGATCCTGTCTAAAACAAGGTGGGAAGCGAGTACCCAAATCCAAAGTTTTCCTCCGGCCTCCTCCACACATTCACTACGGCAAGTGCACTGCACCCCTACATACATATACTCACGTGAAATAAAAACAAAGTGTTAAATAAATGATAAATAAGAGGAGTGGGAGCTAGGAGGGTGGCTCAGGAGGTAACCCGCTTGTTGTGCAGGCGTGAGTTCAGGTCACCAGCACCCACATGAAAGCCAGCGTGGCAGCATGCACTTGCAATTCCATGCAGAGACAGGGAATGCTGGGGGCTTGGTGATCAGCCAGGCTAGGCAAAACGGTGAGCGCTAGGCTTGGTGATCAGCCTTGTCTCAAAACCTGCAATGACGAATGATACAGCAAGACACCTGACGTCATCCTCTGGCTTCCACATTCATACAGGGCACACATGTGCACACACATATTAAAGAGAGAGCAAGATGGAGATTAGATAGATTATAGATATATGTTGCTGAAAAGAAATTTGGTCAAAGAACCAATTGCAGAAGGCCACCCTACCTCAGGAGCCATTCCGGCAGCTGGGATCCATACTCAAAACTGTCATCGTAAGTTTTAAAATGCTGGTAGAACTCCTTGATTTTCCTCTCGTCTGTGAGAAACAACCCTTTCTTAAAGAGAGTATTGACCGTGGCTGGATAAAGGAGATGCCTGCAAAGACAAGTACACTCAGGAAGTCAACCGAGCAATTAGAGACAAAGATGGAATTATCCTAAAATGACAAATGAGCAATGGATAATGTGGCATGGCTTTAGGGGACAGTCATTCTTAAGAAGTTTTAACATCTGCTGCTGGAAGTCAAGCTGTCATTTGAGGACAACTGAAACATGACTATGTTTATCTGAAGATTCAAAAAAACCCTTTCTTAAAAACAAACAAACCAACCAACAAACACCTTGTTTCTAATCATGTGTGTGTGCATGTGTCTCTGTGTGGCTGTGTGCACATGAACGGAGGTGCCTCGGAAGATCAGGTAAGTCGGATCTTCCTGGCCCTGGATATAGGCAACTATGAGCTGTGCAATATATGTGCCAGGAACCAAACTCAGGTCCGTTGGAAGAGCACGTGTTCTCCTCACTGCTGAGTCCTCCCTTCAACCCTGGAGATCTAAAAATCCATTCTAAGGAAGCATCTTTATAGATGAATTTCTAAATGGTCTTATTAAATAAAAAACACGAAGCCAAATATAGGGGTGAAAAACTTAAGAGATCAGGGAAATAGGAAAAGCCACCAGCCAACCTTACCTCACCAACTCTGCAGCTTCCAAAAGTGAGCTACTTCCTGTCTACCTACACCTTTATATGCCTTGCTTTTCTGCCCTCTCATTGGCTCTTAGCCCAGCTCCCTCACTTCCTTGTCACTGCCTGTCTGTACAGACCTCCAGGTCTCTATGGTTAGTACTGGGATTAAAGGCGTGTGTCACCACTCTTGGCTCTGTTCCCTAGTAAGGCCTTGAACATACATAGACTGCCTGATAAGTGATCACATTAAGGGTGTGTGCTGCTTGACTTTGTTTACTTAAAATGGCTGGCCTTTTCCTCCTGATCTCCAGGCAAGCTTTATTTATCAAAGCACAAAATATCACCACATTTCAGCACAAATAAAATATCACCACACATCTTAGACCAAGACAAATCTACACATCTTAGACCCAGACAAATGCAAAACAATAAACACAAATAAAATGAATGAATGCCATTCAATAGGAATTTATTTAGAAAATAGTAAGAAGTAGGCTACCACTCGTGTCTCTGAATGTAGTGGCAAATACACTAGGAATTGAAGGGGTAATAGTAATCACTCATTTCTTAATTTCTCACAAAAGTCTGCATTTTTAAACTATTGCTATTGAAATATCTGTTGATGTTATCTGTTGTGGCATGACTGAAATGAGAACGTCCCCTTCAGGCTTCCGTATTTGAACCCTTGGTCTCAGCTGGTGGCACTATTTGGGACGGTTATGGGATGTTTAGGAGGCGGAGTCTTGCCAGAGGAAGTACATCACTGTGGGGTGGGGCTTTGAGAGTGTATAGCCTCATTCCACTTCCAGGTCACTCTCCACCTTTGTATCCTGGGATTCCAGTGGGGTAAGAAAATGCTTTTGTAATTCAGTGTTTCACGAGAAGACTCAATGACTATTCGTGTGTCAAATGATTGTTGGTTTATTTGCTCACCATAAAGTGAGAATGCTAATCTAGAAAGTGCCTATCAATTAGAATTTAAATGATTTTTTTTAAATCTCATAGTAGCTTAATTAGAGAACATTAATCCAGCAGGTGAATTTTGAAATACAATGTATTAGTTTCAAGTTTTTATTTGAAGATGAAAACAACTACTATTTACCTTACAAAGTTGTCCAGGTCCATTGTCCCATGAGTGCCTAAATCTTCCAGTTGCTCATGAATTTCCTCAGTCAGCTGCCCAATAAACTGATGCATGCTGAAAGTACCCATCTTGCCCTTCATCAAGACATACAGTCTTTCATGCAGTGTTAAAAAGACATTCTTTGGAATCCGCGCTAAGGACAGAGGGAACTATTTTCAAAACAACAACGAGAAGCAGCAATCCCTTGCAGCACGTAATCTATATTCCTCCGCTACAAACTGGCCAGGGGGACTACTGACCGAGCCCCCACAGCACACAGGATCAGTAGATTGGTTCTGCAAGATGACTTAGAAAGGAATGAGAGGGCTGCTATTTCTAGTCCCATCTTCCTCCAGATCTATGGTCGAGGCACACTGAAAATGCACACTGTCCTGAAATTCTTAGCATTCTGAAAGCTATTATCCACACTTTGTATACTCACTACTCTCCCAACTAAACCCCCATTTCTACACACACACACACACACCCCAATTTCCCTCAAGTTTCTTCAGCAGAATAACTCTGATCCCACTATAGAATACTTGTTTAAAGAAGTATTCCTCTTTCTTCTACAATACCAGCTTCAGGTTAGGTCGGGGTAGGGTCAAGAGTTTTGTTTTTTTTAGACTACTTTCCAAAAAATATTTTAATCTGGTTTATATAGTTTGATTAACCAAATAAAAGTATCTTTCAAAGGCTTTAAAGAATCTTTTTAAAAAATAATTTATATTTTATGATTCTGCTATGCTCAGGTTGTATTTTGTATAAATTAATTTAAATTAAACTTGGATCTCCTAAGCATGGTAGTGGACTGTGTGACAGGGATAAGAGGCTGCTGAAGAGTAAATGTCAACAGATTTTATCTGGTTCATAGAAATGAACATGAAAGGGGAGCCTCAGGTGAACATTCCGATAATATCCATATGCCTCTAGCAGATAAGTTAGTTCTTTTACTGAAGAAATTAGTTAGCATATAGAAGAAGAGCCTTCAAAATATTTATATTCATCGATCAGAAACTCCATAGCTTATGTATCAACAAACACTAGAGAGCAGTGAATTTAGCTAATATACTGTGCTCTTTCAATAGAAAAGTAGTTAAACTTTTAACCACTGAGAGGTTTTCAAAGATATTTTGTCTTAATACTAAGAAATGCATGACAGAGTACATTAAAGGACTCTGAGAAGGAAAGAGGGGGCGGGGGAGGGAGGCAGAAGAAGGATGCCTTAGGCAAGAAGAAGCCAGGGCAGGCATTCTGGGGAAGATGCATGGTCTGGGCTCGGGACCTAGGGAGAAAGGGAGACACAGCCCCGTGAGAAGCACATTCTCCAGTAATAGCCAGTGGGCTAAGACAGATGGAGACTGTAAGAAAGGAGAAATCAGCCAGCTAGCCTTACTGCCCCTATGGGCACTCTCAGGAGAGGCCATATTAATGGCTTGCTTATTAAGCAGGGCACTACTCTGGGCAAGCAGAGTATAGTCAAGCCAAGAGCTGGAGCTGGTAGAACATTGTAATCACAGTAGAAGGCTGTAGTTAATAATACCTAGGTGCTGTAACACACTAGAGATTCCAAATAATCCCCCAAATGCATCAGTGACAGGAGCCTATTCCACTCACATGTCTAAGTGAAATCTAAATGTATTAGACTGCCAATAATTTCCTTTTCAATGACCCAGTCTACTACATATACTTTTTTATCTTCATTCTAACCCTACTTTAATAACAAAATAATTGCCCTTCACTATTCTTGATAGAGGACTGAGGATGCAATTTTACTCAAAATAACTCTTGGGTTTCAATGATATACTTCAAAGGAACTGTCTAAAAATATTAGTTACCGGTGTGATAGACAGGATTTTGCACAGCTAGTTCAAAATCTACATGTTTCGATTTTAGAAACACATCGATTCCTTCTTCTTCGGTAACAAAGGTCATTCGTTTCCCCATAGCAAAGACGGTAAATATTGGTCCATACTAGAATAGAACACAAAACACAGATGTACTAGTAAGCATTTCTAAGTCGTGGATTATGTATAACACAATTTTCCTCCACAATACTAATGCTGAGATTGGAGCAAGGGTTCAGTGATTAAGAGTGTATACTGTCCTGGCAGAGGACCTGAGTTCAGCTTTAAGCACCCAGACTGGGCAGTTCAACAGCTATCCATATATAACTCCAGAGGATCTGATGCCCTCTTCTGGCCTCCACAGGCACCTACACACATGTGTGCACCTGTATGCATATGTGTGGACACACACACACACACACACACACACACACACACACAAAATAAAATAAAATAAAATAAAATAAAATAAGAATAGCAATGATGAAGTAATGGCCCAGACTTGAAAATAGGATTACATCTAGTAGTTGCTAGAAATTCTGTGGGTCACATTTAAATTATATGAATCCTAATTCATTTTGTCCTAAAATGTATATAATAAGATGCATATTCTATCTTCCTTTCTTGGTTATTAGAAAATAATAAACAATTAGAATATATGTATTACCATAGTCATCTTGAAACCTTTTATTCAAGATATCAAGAAACTTAAGCAACATACAGCTCACTACTGCTCAAGAGAAGTATACAAAGCTAAAGGGAACAGAAGACCTTAGGGGCCTGTTTATGTTTAGACATCTTAGTGCTGACATGGATACCAGGCCTCTACCAAGATGGCTAATGGTAGATATAAGACGTCTATCAGTCAGCAAAAACTGACTGACACTGGGGGTTCAGAAACCCCCAAAGCAAGCAATAAAACAGTCTGTTATACAAGCACTTCTGGCAAATGTCACCTTTGTATGAGTCTGTATAAATATGGCCTTCACCATATATAGGTCTGTGTACCTACTTGCAACCTGTGTGCTGGTATGTGTGTGTGCCTGCCTGCATAAGCCATCACACATTTACATGCACTAGCATTTGCCTGGGTGTCTGGCAGCATCTGCCTGCCTTGCAGCCTGTTTGCTGGTGCATAATGCATGTCTTGTCTGTCTAGGACTCCTAGCATTCACTTCATCCTCCTGCTTTCTGGGACCTTCCTCCTTTTTTTCTGGCATCAGAGCTCAGACTTCACAAACTATACATTCTTCCTGATACAGTAGTAATTTTTTCCCTTCTCACTCATGTAATTTCTAGCATGAGGTTTGCCTTCTGGGAGTCTGCCCTAATTAGTTTTAACTGTTGACTTGACTCAGCCTAGAGTCAACTGAATAGGGAGTCTCAATGGAGGGTTAGACCATAATGGTTTGTGGCCATGTTGGGGGGAGAGGGCTGACTAATTTTTCAATCATGTAGGAAGGCCCAGACCATTATGGGTGGCACCATTCCCTGGCCAGGTGGTCCTAAGCTGTATGAGATGAACATGAGTGTGCAAGCAGTGTTCTTTCATTAGTTTCTACCTGTGAGCTCCTGCCATGACTTCAGTCATCAACTATAATTTGGAAGGGTTAGCCAAAAAATCCCATTCCTCCTGTAAACCGCTGTTGGCTGGTGTTTATCACAGCAACAGAATGGAAAACTAGAACAGAGTTTATGACCTTATTGGAACAAATAGATGCCATTTTCAGAGCATTCTAATTATGCTCTGGTATCCATTAGGAATGTTGGCAACAAACTGTACACCATGAAAATGAGCCACACATCTGCATACCATTTGGAGTCTCAAAAGAATCTCAAAAGACATCATTTACACTCATCTCTACTTCAGTGCTACTCATTCTCACACAAATCATGAGACTGGCACGTGGTACACTCTTGATAAGACTATTAGGTGCTACTAGGCAAACTGAAGGCTCAAGAATCACTGACCACCAAAACCAACCAAACAACAACAACCACCGAAGTACCATTTCTCACACCCATGGCCCAGACACCCTCACTGCCCCCCCCCCATATTACCCTACTGGCAATTGTTTGCTAGTCAATACTTCAAAGGGAGCGGCTCTTTCTCATTGTTAAGGTTGTGTTTAAATGTACATTCTTAACTTTCTACTAGGAAAGTGGCCTTCCTAGTAGGTTAGTTAGGGACTGGTAACATGGTTAGTTAGCGGCTTCAAGTGGAGGACAAATTCAAACACACCGGGCCACTGAGATTACCGCTGCCCCAGGCTGGCGCTGTTGAAAAGAGCTCACTGTAGGATTCTGCGTAGTGAAAGTCATCCAGCGTGGGGACACAGACTCGACAACAGTGGGTTTTGGTTTTATTTGTTTCTCCTTTGTTCTCCTATTCTTAATTTAATGTCCGACTCCATACAAACCCTTGGGAGTGACTTTTCCCACTATTACCATTCTCTAGACAGACGTCTAGCTAGATTCTGGGTGTTGTTGAGGCTTCATGTCTATACGTTTCTGAGCAGAATTCCACAAAACATGGAAGGACATTTGCTGAAGGACATTTGGGGTCCTATTTCAAGGGTACTGTAAAAAGAGATTACAGATAAAGCAATGGCCGGGTTACAGTGTAAACCTGAGTTTCCATTTCTGCAGGAGAAATATCTAAAAATAGAGGTGCTGAGTTACACGATTAGCTGCGTGTTCTGTTAATAAACTGCTGATGTATTTTCCACAGTAGCTGGACCATTAGGCGTCTTCAGGCTGATTTTATCTTTACCAGCGGCTGGGACTGTCACTAACCTTGTATGTTTGCCATCTGGAAACCCTCATCATGGACATGATGTTCACATCCATTTTCTAATTGGACAGTACTTTGCGTTTGACTGTCCATGGTTCTTTATGCACACCACACACTGGTCCTCTGTGGGGGATGGGACTTGCACATAACTTTATCCTGTTCTGAAACTTTTTTCTTTGTCCTCCTTGGGGATTCTGTCACAGAGAAAAGGTCCCCAATTTTCATAAAGTAGTTTATCTTCTCTTCCTTTCACGGACTTCACTTTGAGTGCCAATCAAAAAAGTGTTTCCTAGACCCACAAGGGTGATATTCTCTTCTTTTTTAACTTTTTGTTGTTCATGTTTCTGGTTAGGACTGGGATCTACCTTGAGTTATTTTTTCGTCTAAGATGTGATTCTTAGGTTGAGTTTCCTTATTTTGTTTTGTAAATTGCTGGGTTTTTATTTCCTCCTGGCTCATGAGCATGGAACTGTTTCACCAATGTTTAAAAAGGTGTCTTTACTCCACTGAATTATTGTTGTGTCTCTGTCACATGTCAGCTGAGCACACTTGTGTGGCTGACTCTCCAAGCTCTCTCTTCTGGTCCGTCTATCTTGGTATTTATGCCTCCGTCAGCACTGCAGTCTTAATGACTAATCAGCATGGAAATTGAGTGAAACAATTCCTCTTGGGTATTTTTCTTCCAAACATGTTTTAGGGACTCCATTCTCTTGGCCTTTCCACCTATGTTCTACAAAAATAGTCACAGAATCTAAAATAACGCTTCCGGAGAATTTGAAAGTACCCCTCCTGGATTTCAATTTGGACACTGACATCTATGGACTTTTCCAATCTACAACCACAAGCACTGCATATCTCTCCCTTAGGATCTCTGATATTTTAATTAGCATTTTGGGGTTGTTAGCAAATAAGAATTGAACCTATTTGGTCATATTTTTAGCAAAATATTCGCTTGAGTGATTACAAGCGTTATTGTATGTTTAACCACACAGGTGCAGCTCCAGCACGCGTGCGGCCACGCAGTCAGTAATTGTGTGCCAACCTTTCTGAACTCACGCATGAACGCCAAGTTCTGAGAAACACCCCAACCGGACTGTTTAATGTGACGAATGAGCTGTACCTTAAATCCGACCTCCTTCTGGCCTGTGATTAATGATTTATTTCTAACATTCCCTCTCTGCCTTGAAGCTTATGCATTGCACCTTCAAAGTTCCTTCTTCAAAGTCATGCTTTTATGGATAAGGAAACTAAATTGCACCAGCAATACCATGCCCTGTCTCCCAACTCCGTTGCAGATCATGTCGATTTACAGCCCCAGGTCACATACAGAGCCACTACCGATGCCTTAAATTATTCCTTTCCTAAACCCACACATGACTCTCTTCAAGTGTGTCTCATCTCTTCTGCTTTATTATTTGTTATCATTTATTCGGCTTCATTTGCTGATTGAGAGATCACTGCCTCATTAGCTTTGCTTCACTCTGCATCACGCTAAAATTCATTTTCAGTGGGGGATGAAAACTTGAAAAACTGGGATGTGCCAGAGTAAAACCCCACCCGGCCCCCCAGAACCCTTAGCCTGCACTGCCAACCACAGCGAACTCCATTTCTGGCGACTGGTGATGGGTGAGAAAGGAACTAGTGTTACAGAGCTTGGGAACGAGAGTTGAGAATTCAGTGGAAGAGACACATTGTGTCTACAATGTGTCTACACATTGTGTGTATGTTTGTAGAGGTGTGTACATGTAGAAGTCAGAGGTCAACACTGACATTTCCCACCGTTGCTCCCCTCTGATTTCTTGAGCCAGGGTCTCTCCCTGAACCTGGAACTCAGGGACTGGCTGGGGTGGCTGGCCAGCAAGCCCCAAGGACCCTCTTTCCTCCACCTGGGATCACAGGTGTGTGCCAGGCTCTCCAGCTTGCCCTCTGGCACTTTACTGCTTGAGCCATATTCTAAGCCTCCCACAAGAGTTAATGTTTTAAAATGTTAAACCACAGTAACACATCCTCCATCCAAAGATGAAATTCAGCTACAGGGAAGACGTTTGCAGCCGTCACAGTTTTCTCTGTCTTCCTCACAGGCTGGAGCTGGAGGGGTGCTCACCGTGGATGTCTGGAAGACCTTCCTTAAAGAGCCAACAAGCCATGTGTTTCCCGTACAGCTTCCAGATAAATGCAATCTATCTATCAAAATGTTAAGACGGGCTGCAGATACTGTGAAGAAGCAGATCACATCCTCTTCCAACATTTCGTTCAAATGCGAAGACAGACGGCATCACAAGCGTGCAAAGAGGCTGTAGAAGGTTTAGTACTTCCGCAATGGAGCTTTTCTTGACTGCTCTGAGAAAGTAATGCGGACGTAGACTGAGAAAGCTGAGTGGGAGCAAGGCGTACCGTGCACACCTGAATCCCCGTCCTCAGAAGGCTGAGTACTCACGCAGGAGGACTTAAGTTCAAGGCCAGCCTAGGCTACTTAGTGAACAGTAAGAACTTGTATAACACAAAGAAGCAAAAGCCATTGGTTCCCTTTGGTTTTCCTTTTGTGTGTGTTGGTTAGGGAGTGGGTTAAGGAGGGAGTGAGCGTTCCTGCTTTGGGACTTTCGGCTTGCATGGTTTAAATTTCTCTAATGCACTTTTTATCATCCTGACCATATGATAAGAATAATTCTTAAAATCAGCTTCCAGGATTCAAACATCAAACAATGGAGCCACAGTCTTTGAATACGAGAGAAAGACCACACACACACACACCCTGTGTCGTGTTATATAATAGTTGGCTCTACAGAGCCCTCACACATACTTGATCTGAGGCAACTTTGTTAAACATTCCATAAAAATTACTAAACTCATATGACCATGGAAGGCTGTGGGAAACAAAGAAATATTATTTTAGGAAAGATTCTTTTTCATCTTTGATGCATTCAACTAGTAAAAGTTTCACATAATTATGGCACCCAGTGTGGCCCAGAATTTAATATGTTAAGCAAATCTATATGCTAAAACAAAGGTTAAAAGTGTATACTACACCAGGCGCATGCCTTTAATCTCAGCACTAGAGAGACAGAGCCAAGCAGATCTCTGTGAGTTTGAGGCCAGCCTGGTCTACAGAGTGAGTGAGATCCAGGACAGGCACCAAAACTACACAGAGAAACCCTGTCTCAATAAAAAAAAAAAGTGTATACTACATCTTTTTCAAAGCAGTACAAAAACACAATACCATCATAAACAATATAATTGTGCATTCCCCTCCCCCAGGCAAATCTATTGGAGTTTATTTTGGAGTTTATTCTGAGGAAATAGTCAAATAAGCTTTAAATATACAACTATATACACACAAATAAGAATATCCATCGAGAGCTGGAAAGATGGCTCAACCATTAAAGGCTAGGCTCACAAGCAAAAATATTAGAATATCCATTGAGGTATTGGTTGAAACAATGAAAAGCGGTTGGAGACAACCTTTATAACCCAACTCTCAGGATTTGAGTAAAATGTCCTATCCTTATTTGATGAAACGCAGCCATTAAAGACTGGAGATGGCTTGGTGGACAACGTGCCTGCTGTGCCAACACAGTCTTTAATGGCTACATACACACACACACACACACACACACACACACAAAGACTGAGAGAAATACTTAATGATAAGGAAATATTATTCCTATATTGTGTTTACATGAGTATGGGCATGCACGTATCACAACACCTGTGTGAGGTCTGAGACCAACCGGAGGGACCGGAGGGAGCTGCCTCTCTCCTTCCGCCATATGGGTTCTGGAGATCTATCTCAAGATGTCAGACGTGGCAGCAGGCACCTACACCCACTGAGCCATCTTGCTGGCCTTCCACCTTATTTTCTGCGACAAGTTCTCTCATTGAACCTGGAGATGGGTGGTTGGCCTAGACTGGCTGATTAGTGAGCTCCAAAGATTCTCCTGTCTCTGCCTCTCACCCAATGGAATCTGAGCGCATTTGGCCACACTGGCTCTTTTTTTTTAATTATTATTATAAAGATCCATTTTATCTGTGTGTGTGTGTGTGTGTGTGTTTCTATATATGGGTATGTGCATGTGCACCAAAGCCTCTGGAGGGCAGAGGCTCCAGACCTCTGAAGCTGGAGTTGTAGGCGATTGTGATCCAACCCACCATGGGTGCTGGGAAGGGAACTTGGGTCCTCTGTAAGAGCAGGGTGTGCTCTTAACAGCTGAGCCATCTCTCCTCCACTTGTTTGCTCCCCCCCCCCCCACACACACACACTTTAAATACAGGCATTGGGGACTGAACTCAGGCTCTCTCGCACTTGTGTAGAAAGCACTTCATCCACAGAGCCATTTTACCAACCAAATATAGTAAGATCTTGGCGGCGAAAATATGAATGAAAATTAAAAGGCTAACAAAAGTGTCTTCTTTAATGCACAACATTCAAGAGCTGCTTTAGGGACAAAAACTTTTATAAACGCATCCAGGGGTCGAAAAAGAAAGAAAGAAAAGTGGCAAGCCTTGAATCTGTAAAGATAACTTTGCAAAACAAGTTTTACAAAGTCGTAGTGCCATCTCTATTTGTGATACAGATTTATGACTCATTTTCACAAAATGAAGTCATGGAAACTTATCTTCCCCAAGTACTACAATACGCTTATAACACGCACTTTGAATTAATTCGAGGAAGTCACTAACACTTAAAAGACATCTCTACTTCCAACAAGCTGCGTTGTCTTTCATTTAATCTCTTGATGCCTTGCTTAGCACACAGCTGAAGATCATGAGGAGAGAAACAACAGATGTGATTAACTGCCGGAAGTATGCTTATGTCCAATGTTCTAACACTGCGCTTAATAAAAATATAATTTGAAAATAAAATATTACCTCCCTCCAACCCCCGGCCCCCAGCCCCCGGCACAGCTACATACCTTGATTCTTGCTTTTTCTATAAATTCAAGAGGGGCTTTCCCAAACTCAAATCCTGCTCCGAACCAGGGAATCCAGCCCTGGATGCACGGGGGTCCGCGCAAATTCCTCAATCGAAAGAATAAGAAAAGAACACAGCTTCCCAGGACGGCGATGACTAATGATGAGAATAACTCCATGATGCCCATCTTGCAGAATCACAGACGTTTAAAAATGTCCTTCTCCCTGGGCATTTCCTCCTCCCCTGCCGAGTGAGAAAAACGCACCGGGTCTTCCAAACTTTGAGCCGAAACTTTGGCAACTAATTCTCTTGCGTAACTGTAGCTCCTTTGCCCCGCCCCGATTTTTGTGTAATTTTTGCATTGTGGCTCCCTTCCACCTTCGCATTGCTTTCAAATGCTGGCCAGTAGGAAAAAAAGAAAAAACGAAAAAAACAAAACAACAACAACAAAACCTACAATGAGTTGAACTACACCGGCCTGGGCTGGGAAAGGTGGGCGGGAACACGCGCTATAGCCCTAGCTATGGAGTAGCTGGCAATTTGCAGAGGGCGCCTAGATGCCAACCAATCAGAGAGGGCGCGGAGCCCCCCAAGAACTACATTTCCCAGAACCTCTTGGGTTCCGCTTTGTTTTTCAGTACCTGAGGCCCCCGGACCGGTCCAGCTCCTAAGCGGGTGGAGGTTTTGCAGTGCCTTATTGGTGCACATGGTCCCTCCCCTACTGCTCTTGGGCTGAAAAGGGGCGGCGCCGGCAGGGTGGCAGGTGCACAGGCGACTCGGAGTGCCCAGTGGTCCTGATCTGCTGCTGAATGTCTGTCCCCGAGGAGGAGGCGACGCTGCTGCCGCTCACGCAGAGATGGCCCCGGACGAGCAAGTTCCTACTGTCCGGCTGCGCCGCAACCGTGGCCGAGCTAGGTACCAGCCGCCCCTGCCTCGGCCTCCCCAGCGAGTGGCCTCATCGCTCTGGGGGAGGGATGGGCGGGCAGCCCTGCTCCAGGCTGGAGCATCTTCAGAGGTTGCGCCCTCGCAAGGATGTGGTCAGGTGCCCAGTAGGCCAGCTTCAGGAGGAGCATGGATTGGAGGTGTCCAGGGTCCTTGTCTTCCCATCCCCAGGGATGTTATCCTATGCCTGAGTGAGTACTCTTGGGCTCTTCATGAGCCCTTATACCTCTCTAGGAAACATTTCCCCTTTCGTGAGGATGACCTTTTTGAAATCATAGTCCATTTGTTCACATATTTTTCATCCTCCCTGAGATCGTCTTTTTCATGGTTTATGCAGCCTCCGAATCTTTGAGTTTGGGGGGCGGGGTGTGCCACCTTGGTGATTTCAATTATTAACTATCCTGAACATCTGCCTAAAGTCAGATGCCCGCATCACTTCTTAAGCCTATATCTTGTTTACCTGACAGGAGGGACCCTGAGAAGTAATTTTTATAAAAATGGTAAATGCTGGGCAGGGTGGCTATTAATTGGGGCATTGTTGCAGTCAATACAGTAGTGGGTCCTGGCTCTACAGTTTCAAAACCCCTGCGTGGCCTTCTTCCAGGCCAGTGGGGGTACATGCAGAGAAAGACATTTACAACTACTGCCTGTTGCAGAGAGGCTATTTTTGTGTGTCACAAGAACATCCTAGAAAACAGACTCATGTATGTCTAAGTGAGTCAAAAAGAAACAACAACAATTGAACGGACCACCTAGAGTGGATTATGGTACCTTGGCATGAGCAGATGGTAATTTGTTGGTAAGGAGGGGTACAAACTGTGGTCTCTGTGAAGCTATTCCAGATTACCCTTGCATTTTCTTGTCCATTAAAAAAAGAAAAAAAGGGGGGGTGTCTCTAGCGCATTAGTCATTTGAAAACGTTACCCAGTCTTGTTCTAGCGGAGGTTTATTTCTTTTTATACCTAGTATAGCCAGCACACTATCTGTTGTTTGCCTTTAGATTCTTTCCTTCTGGCTCTTTGGCTGGTCTATTTGTCTCTCTCCTCTCAAAGCTAGTGGAGCATTTTTTATCATCCACTTTCTGAAATAAAATTTACCAGCTTTTAAAGACATCTAAAATCGGGTGGCTGAGTGATTAGCTACATTAACAGTTGAATTCTTCCTTGAAGCTCATTGGCTTGTACAGGGACGCTCCTGTGACATGTGCCAGAGAGAATTATCTGAAGACTAGAGATCAGAGGCTAGGGAAATAAAGTTAGGTGGTGAAGAGGAGTACACCCCAGTTCAGCATGAGAGCCTGCATATGAAAAAAACAAAATCTAAATGAAATCAAAACTCTTAGAGGATTCTACCTCTCCCTATTTTTTTTTTAGCTTCATGTGTTGATAGAACACTTTTAAATGTATGGATATGCAAGATACATCTGTTTAGGGAAATTATTGGCTAGATACTAACTTTCTCAAAACCTA